ATTTCTTATTTCATCCATGTTTTCAATTATTAGACTAAATTTGACAATAAATATTTAGAAGATATATTTTTTGCAGCTTTTAGTTTTTAATATTAATTTACAATATGGTCACCCAACACATAACAATACAAACATTACAAATGCACAGCTGCATTTGTAAGACCATGGCCCAAATCGTTAATGTAGATGGTAAACAGTATAGGTCCTAAAATGGACCCTTGTGGAACCCCTCTAGAAATGTCCATAAAACTTGAGGTTTGACAGCCATATTGAACACACTGTTTACGGCCAGTCAGATAATTTAGAAAACAACCCATGGCCTGTTCAGTAAACCCTATGTCCAAAAGCCTTTGACACAAAATCCCATGATCAACCGTGTCAAAGGCTTTACTGTAGACAGATCTATAAAGAGGGCAGCACAATAGTCCCTGGCATCAAGAGCTTCAATGATATCATTTAGGACCTTCAGGGAGGCAGTAACTGTACCATGTTGTTTTCTAAAACAGACTGGTAAGGTGATAGAATATTCTTTGAATCCAAGTACTGCTTAATCTGTTCATTTATAATCTTTTCAAAAATCTTTGCTAAAATACACAATTTGAAACTGGGTCTATAATTATTTAGAGCTGTCGGATCACCACCTTTTAGTAAAGGCAAAACAAAAGCTGATTTCCATGTCAGGGATACAGTTCTGTTGAATCGACAAATTAAAAATATGTCACGGGTTCAGCTATGGTGTCAGCTGCTAAAAGTAGGAAGTATAGGGGGAGATTATCAGGTCCAGCTGATTCTTTTAATATCTAGATGTTTAAGCTCTCTATAAACGTCACTGATAGACAGTTTAGAGAAAGCAAATGTCTGACCAGAAGTTGAGTTTCTGAAAGTATGGCCAATAGGCACAAGAGTTTTAAAAGTGTCCTTTGACATGAGGTTAGAAGCAGCAAAATGTTTATTAAAACAGTTTAACATCTCCACCTTATCTGACACTGGCCCAGAGTCAGTCATTAACTGAGAGGGAAGATCTGAGTAAGAGTTGCCAGAGATAGATTTAATCATTTTCCAAAATTTGCATGGATCCTTTAAATTATTTTTAGTTTCAGTTGCAAAATACGAACTCTTTGCCTTTTTGATCAGTGCAGTACATTTATTTTAAAACTGGCGAAAATTGCTTTTGTCCAAAGCTAGTCCCTGTCATGTAGGAGGGTCTTTAATTCAGAAGTGAACCAAGGACTAACTCGAGTTTTTACTCTAAACATTTTAAAAGCGTCATGTTTGTCAAAAAAAAATGCCTAAAACTATCATAAAAATAAAGCCATGCACAATTAACATTGTCAATTAAAAAGATACGTTCCCCATTAAAATGATAGAGTAGCCCAGATTTACATGTACTCAATAACACATTTACACACACAGATAGTTGAAAGAAAAGGTTTATTTTATCATATTATTTTAACTAAAAAAATGTTATTTTTATTAACAACCTAGTCAAAACAAGTAAAAGAAAGTATACTAAAATTATGTTGTCAAAATATAATACAAAAACCAAGGCTTTAGAGCATCATTTTGAAAACATTGTTTAGAAATACACAATAAACTAAAACAAATTAAAAAATTAAATATAAAATTGTGTTCAATAATAAGATTGACAATCATTTGTAAAATAAATGCAAGTCCGTAGTTATTCTGTAACTTTACTGTATTTTTGTGTATTTTTCTGTATTGTTTAATTATTGGCCTTTAAAGAGAATGAGCTTAGTCAGTTTCTGATGAACAGACTCTTTTTTAAGCTGTGAGGTGTGTAATCTGGCAACATGTTTCTGCCTGATGGTGTAGGAACTGTTCACCAGGAGTAGGATGAGGTCAAAGTAATGGTTGTCCATGCCATATTGAGACTCCACTATATGTTTTCCGAGGCACAATGGATTGATATCCCCACATTCATTTTCTTACATAGACCAACACTGTGTGTCGGGAGCAGACATTTGTTGCATTGGTAATGTTCATGAAAAGCCTGATGCCTTTTTCTGCTGCAGTTAAAAGATGTACTACACCTTGTGAGGGTGTAACAAGCCCACCTTTATTTTTCATTTGAAGCAGCTGAAACAAATCATCATAGTGAGGTTGGACAGCATTGGAGACCAAAGATGATTTACACACATCACAACACACCTCATTTACAATCTGACGCACCACAAAACCTGCAATGTATGTTATGATGTTCACAGGAAACGGAGCATGTTTTGGTGAGATCCTTGTGCTGTACATGTGGTCGATGTTGTTGTTCATAAAAGTAGACTCAGCTGCTTCGTGTGGCATGACATCACTGACCCGGAGACACTGTGTGCTGTCCATGGAGACAACATTTCCAGCCGAAGATGGTGATACCCCGCCCGCTGTGCACAATCATGTTACGGAAGATTGCCATGAACTGATGACAGCTTGGGTTGTTGTTAAATCCACCTGCATAATCACACATACTAAATATCACTAGGTCTGTTAACAATATGTTTCATAAATCATAGCCCAAAAGTACACTTGAAATTGAAAGCAAATTATAACTTACCTGCTTTGCGTACTGCACTGAAGAACAGCTCCAAGTGATTTTGGCTCAACTTGTAAGTTAACAAGAAACTTTGGTTGGCTAGAACTTCTGGTAACAATCTGAACAAACTCTCTATGTTGACAATGAAGCCAAACACACCCAATTACCTGTAAACATAAATCATTATTTATCAGTTCAGCTTGTTCTTTTGAAATTCACAGTGCACAAAAATAGCAGTGACCTGAAAGCATGTCTGTAAAATAGTTTCCTCAGTTTATTGTTATTTACATTCTGTGGGACATGATCAATGTGCGGTTAATACCGGAATAAATTTAGATAGATAAAAATATTACTACATGTGAAAAATAAAAATATTTACTGTTACAGAGCTTTAGTAAGCAATCCACAAAGCAAATGACAGGGTATTTTCTTTTTTTTTTCTTTCTTTTGCTTAATAAATTTAGATAAATAACAATGTGTCTGTTGTGTAAATATTACACACTTACTGTTACAAAACATTAGTAAGCAATAAGGAGGCAAATCAACACTTCTGTCTTTACTTTAATGGCACACCTTGACTCCACAGAAATACAAAAAACACAAAAAGTTTAAGTTCACCCTCCAGCAGTGGGAGATTTCATGTAGTTCACAATTTATTTTGATCCATTTTTTGTCTGTACTAATTCTGAACATAAACGCAATGCTAAACATAGCCCTCTTATTTAAAAGAAAAAAAAACTTACCGATGAAATGTTATGAGGTCCGAACATTTTCCACTACAATTGATGCAAGCGAACGCTGCACAGTGACAGGGCATTGCGGGCCTGTGTTCAATGGTTGAATGACTGTGTCAAGATGGAGTCGCATTTAGCATACCCAAAGTCATGTGATAGCCCCTCTAGTAAATATCCCTCATTGGTATTTACAATCTTCAATAAAGTCAGCCAAAAACCTAAACATTTTAAAAGGGGTTATCTGCGGAATCAAAGTGGGCGTGTCACAAGAGTGGGCGTATCTAAACCATAAACACTGTGGGCTACGAGGCGTACATGACGGTATCCTCAGACCCTGCTTGAACTCTTTACAGCCTGACCCTGACCCCAACACTAAGGTTAACCAGGAGAAATGTGACCCAAGTAGGGTTCTCCAGAAAAAGTGGTGCCAAACAGTAACGCCCCCTTTTTTTTTTACTTGTCCAGTCAGGTGTGTTCCTTTAACAAAGTCCGTCAAATCAGGTGTGTCGCTTTAGAATCGCCTTTCCTTGTGACACGCCCACTGGTCCACACTCGTCCGCAGAGACCCCTACTTGAAATATTTAGGTTGCAAACTTAAATACTAGCAAGTTAAACATTTAGCTAGCTAAATTAAATATTTAGCTAGCTGCCTAAATATTTAAGTTGCAACCTAAATATTTAGCTCAAAACTAAATATTTAAGTCACAAGTTAAATATTTAGCGTGTTAAATAAATATTTAATTTGTAAGTTAAATATTTAGTTTATAAACTATGACATTTATAAGTGCATGAATCATATGGTGAAATGCTGACTTTGAAAAATAAACCTGTTCTTTTTTTCTTATAAAAGGCTAAATAAAACAAAAGTACCCAAAAACCAAACAAAGTCTTGTAAAACTATACTTTGTTTATTTATTGATTAGTTATTATAAGTACGACTACGACCTCACTTCCACCGAAGCGCAAATTGCTGCTAAACAAACCCAAACAACTGCGCTAATCAACATGCTAACAATTTGAAGCTAATTCTCACCAGAAGGACTGTTTACTTACTGACAGATTTCTCCTTCGGCACCTTCAGGCTGGCTTTCTGTCGTGACTCCAACGCTGGATAACAACTGAACACGAAGCTGGTCGATTTCAGAAAACAGCTGCTCTCCACAGGAAGCCATCATGTCATGTATGTATTGTTTGACAGGAGGCTAACGCGTTAGCATTGGTGGTCAGCACAGAGTGGAAATCTCGCGGGCTAAACGCAGCTGATAAATAAGCTTGCAAAATGCATATTGGATGTTTTTAATTACAATCATCGGTAAAAACTTTTAATATGTAGCTGCCACCATGGCAGTTATCAAATTTCATAATTATTTTTCATAATTTATTTAAGGAGTTAATATAAGTTATGTGGATACTTCATCGATTTTAACTGTGACATATTTTTTATTGTTAAGTTGCTATAAAGAGATGTCAAGAAAACAAATATCTACAAGTTTTGTTTACCTGGCAAGTTTTTGGCAAGTCCCAAATTAAATTTGAATTAAAGTGTGATTTAGTATAGAAGCCCATTTCCGCCATCCTGATAAAAAAATAAAACTTGTATCTCATAATTATGACTTAGCTATCTCATTATTATGAGATAGTATCTCATAATAATGAGATAGCTAAGTCATAATTATGAGATAGTATCTCATAATAATGAGATAGCTAAGTCATAATTATGAGATAGTATCTCATAATAATGAGATAGCTAAGTCATAATTATGAGATACAAGTTTTATTTATTTTTTTATCAGGGTGGCGGAAATGGGCTTCCAAAATTTAGCATTTAGAGTAAAATATATTTGCACACTTTTTAGTGGCATTGGTCTCCTCAGCCCTATTTGAACTGCATTTAAATGTAAATAATTGTTCTCCAACATCTTGATCTTATACGAATGACTACAGGGGGTGTATAAATAAAAAAGAATATGATGTAAAATGTTAAATATGTTACTGAACAGTTTTACTGCACAGACCAACACTGCTTTATTGTATGTATATAGTCAGAGTTGGCTGTACTGTTTCAGTAATATACTCTCTGACTCTGTTCTTGAGTAATTTCAATCTGTGTCCGGATATAAAAACAAAAGAATTTGGACCAGTTTGCACCTCACTCCTGTAAGGTAATAACTTTGTTTTCCCTTGATAGTGTTAGGATAAATTCCCATTAGCACCCTCTGTGGGCCTCAGTAATGAGACCTTCTACCTGAACTTGCTGCTACTTGTCTGAGGTGTCTGTGTGTGTGTGTCTGTGGCGTTTTCAGAAAAGGTGTGTGTGTGTTTGATTTCCTGTGGTTAGAGTCCACAAGAAGGAAAAAAAATGAATGTCTATTGTTTCTGTTAACCATATGTGGAGGAAACTTTTAAGCGTGATTTTGAAGATGAATGTCTGTAATGATGATCCTGGCCAACATGTGTTTTAGAGCTCTGTGAGATGCTGTAATCTTTCATCTTCCTGATAGCAGATCGGTTTACTGTACTTTTGACTAATATCAGCTGCTTAAAGCCCTTAAACAAGAGCATGGCTTTAAATAAATGTGACATCTCGGAGAATCTGCACACATGTCCTCATCAAAAACTGCTTAAAAGTCGGCTTCAGTTTCTCTGTTCCAACATGTGGCCGTCATGTCGCTTCATTTTTATATGAAAAATCTGTTAAACGTTAGGTCATCCAGAGGCTTCACCTTTGAGAGTTGCTGGCAGGCATGCTGTGTGTGTTTGCAGAGGCACTGACGTCTTTCTCTGACAGTGTGAAGGCCCAGTTAGAGTGTGTGTGAGCCAGGATCTGAAGAGGAGAGGTTCGTGCCCCTGACCTGACCCTGAATGTTTCCTAATGTGCAGATTTACCAAAGCTCTCCTTTTTCTCCTGAGTGCCTCTGACAGGCTGCTTCCGTGGTAATGACTCTTAATTTAGCCGTAATTGCTATCTTTTCAGTGACGAAGAGCAGTCACTTCACTCAAGCTGAAAACAATCCTAGTATGTGAAAGACCACAGGTTGCCAGGGGTCCTTTTTCTCCTCTTCCAGAAAGCCCGGGATCCCCGCTGTTCCTTTCGCCTGAGAGAGATTTCCGTCGAGTGTGGGGCCCTAACCTGAGGAGACAGAGTGCAACGAGTCATGTGCGTGTCTCGGGACGAGTGTTTGTGCTGGGCAGGAGGAGGGTAGGCAGGGGAAGTGAGGGGGGCTGCAGGGTCAGAGGAAAGAAAAAGGGGCTATGGGTGGAGGGAGGGGGGACCGTTGCAGGTGAGGAGGATTAGCTGCAGCTAGAGGCCCAAAGAAACTAAATACAGATCTGTCAACCTAATCCTCACAAATAGAAAACAGAGCTGCCCTCCCTTCCACATAGTTTAGCACATCCACCTCCTGCTCCTTTGCCCACCACCCCCAACTCTAAACACACACACACACACTTTCTACCTTAGGGTCTCCTGCTTTTCTGGTTCTCATCAGCTTTTGAACTTGCTAAACACGTCTTTATGGATGTGCTGCCTGCCTCTGTAATATTTATTCAGTCAGCTAAAATGGGTCCTACAGATCCCCCTCTGATCGACAGGTTAACATAGTCTTGAGTGATGAAAACAAGAGCCTAAAGAGTCAGGGTCCCTCTCTGCACACACAGGAATCTTAATGGGACCTCTGCCCAGAGCTGCATGGAACGGGCTCGACCTTTATCAGGCCCACACACCTCAGTAATGGATTCTGATAAGTTTGCGGCTGCTGGGCTTGGTGCTGATGACACGGGCGACAGTGGCTGAGTGATAGCATCCTGCAATGGATAAGCACAAGTAAGCTGTGCATTAAGGAGAGCTCAACAGAAATGGCATCGCTGACTGTCAGCAGCAGCAGCGGCGATAACTGATGGGTCTGTCTGGACTGCTGAGAGCGATATATCAGATCCAAGCTTCTCCGGTGTTCCCAAGTGCCATATCCAGTTGCAGACAAACATTGGGCTGACAGGACATAGCTCATATACGGGCGAAAGTAGGTAGTGAGTGACAGCAGATAGACCTGCAAGGTGCAGCTTTTTTAAATTACTGTGAGCTGCTTTCCAAAAAGTCCTCACTGGTCATTTTGTATAAAGACAAGCACAACTGACGTGTTTTTTTTCTCTTCCTTTTTACTGTGTGAATGCTGATTCTGCAGCCACTCTATTGTTTCCTTTTAAAGTCCATATGTTTTCTTTGCAATCTATGTATTTCTGCATATCTTGTGCTAATTTAACCAATTAATGATTCAGCTCATTCAGGAGATGGGTACTCTGTAACTTTTATTTTTGTGATTATAGTACTTTTCAAAATATGTAACTTTACAAGTATCTTAAGATTACTTCAGATCCAACAAAATACAATATTTTGTTTCAAATCTGCTTCAGTCTAACATATTCATTTTTGCTTTATTAAACTATGCTTAGTTTTTAGCTACTGTTCTGCTACTTTTGGCTTTTTGCTAGCCTTTTGCTACTTATAGCTTTTAGCAGCCATTCTGCTACTATTAGCTTCTAGCCAGCTTTTTGATATTTTTACTGGCATTTCTCTACTTTTAACTTTCCGTTAGACTTTTGTTACGTTTAGCTTTTTAACTAACTCTTTGCTTACTTTAGCAGCTAGTATCTTTGCTTCACTTAGCGTTAAGCTAGACTTTTGTTTCTATGAGCTTCTAGCTAGTTTATTGATATTTTAGCTGGCCATTTTGTGTTTCTTTTTAACCAGACTTTTGTTTTTCAGCTGGTGTTTTGCTTCTTTTAGCATTTAGCTGGCCTTGATTTTTTTTTATTATTATTTTCTTAACTTAGAGATATTTTAGCTGGCCTATTAGATTTTTTAGCTTTTAGAAAGCCTTTTGCTACTTTTAGTTTGTGTTTTGCATCATTTAGCTTTAACAGCTGGTTTTACCTTATTAGCACATTTTAGCCAATCCCTCCAGCACTCAGCACACACACTGTATTTGCACAGAAATGTCAGTTTTCTAGTTTGAAATGTTTCATTTTTTATAACAAATGTAACAGATTCAAACTGAATCCAGATTTTTTTTAAACAAAAATGGAATCAAAGGCAAAACCCTAATGGGCTCCGTAAAGTGAACTCCTTTTTAAAGCAGTTTTTTTTTAATTCCCACCCCCTCGCTTTCTTTCTTTCCTTCGTCTCACAGCTGTGTTTCATATGTCCGTGAGGCCCTTGGATGTGTGAGACACCAGAAGGGGAACATTTGCAATGGCTCAGCTCCACCTGGTTGGGCTGTTTTAACAGGCCGTCAGTCTGCGCATTGCACACACTGAGGTTAGGACTAAAACGTGGACAGAACCAGACAGACGGGGATAGTGATGGAGGTATGAGGAGACATGTCTCTGCCTTGCGTTCCCGCTTCATTTTAGGGTCGCTTTAAGAAACTGGACATTACAGTTTCTGCTTGGTCAGAGCTTCTCTCTCTCAAACCTCATCTGCCTTTCCTGCATCCACTGATCTTCAAAGGACCGCTGCCTGCTGCTCTCTGAGGCAACACATGAAATAAATATTAATACGACCTCTGACCACATGCTTTGAGCTCCCAAACAGAGTTAACCAAGCGGGCAGGAAGAGCACCGACTCTCACGGTAGATAAAAAGGAAGGAAAGAAGAGAATACAATATGAAGAGCAGATGACAGCGTTACAGGGGTGTGAAAAGAGTTTCCAGAGCTGTTTTTATTGTGCTGCTGTGTGGTCCCCTTCAGAGCTTTGTATCTTGCTCCAACCTGTTAGAGTGCAGAGGAAAGTGAGGAGTGGGAAGAAACAGTTCAAGTGCTTCAGGCCAAATGCTCAGTTTACTTAGATTTAAAAAAAAAATGCAGGAACACCAAACAAGTAGAAGCAAGTGACCATGCACCGATATGGTCTAACAGCTTGCAGAAGTGCTGTGAGTTTTTTTTTTCTTTAATAAACCACGTGTCTGCACAGGTGTGCAACACTGTGAGCCTCTGAAAAATCCTTCCTGTCCCGACACACTCCAGGAAAAATTGCAGCCGTGCTGTTTTTGCAGCTTTACCCCCACACGTGCGTCCACGGCGGAACTTTCAAACATTGTTTGTTCTAGCTTTCCGGCTTTAATTCCCCTCCTCGTCAAAGAGCCGCCCCCTTCAGCGCCGCTCGCCGAGCCCAGCCTCAAGCCTGTGCCTACCATTAGTGGGACAGCCACCAGGCCCCCGCAGGCCGGAACAAAAGGGAGACTGTTTCTTTTGTGCTGTCCAGGACCGCTCACCCCTCTCAGGGCGCAAACGAAGCTGATGGCAGAGAGGTTGGAGCACCTGGTGGCATTGTGACTGCCAGCAACCTTACAACAAGAACGCAGAAGAAATCAGGCAGTGAGAGGAACAAAAAAAAAAAAGGCAAGGAAAGATTTATAGTCATAAGGATGCTTTTATGTTGGAAACGGCTGTATTATAAACACCTGTGGCCATTAGCAGGATCTGTCTAGAAATGTTTATATGTTACCAAAAAGCCTGTTAAAAGCTAAAAGAGGAATTGATCTACAGAATAAGCAGCGAGGAGTGCTACGGCTTTGAAAGAAAAGAAGACACACCACATTAAAAGGATAGTCTGGGGATTTTTGAAATGATGTTCTGTCTCATAGTCACTAACCATGACTTCAGTCATATAGCATGGAGTCTGTTATTTGCAGATGATGTGGTCCTGTTGGCATCACCGTGTCGTGATCTTCAGCTCTCACTGGAGCGGTTCACAGCTGGTATGAGGATCAGCACCGCCAAATCTGTATCCATGGGCTTGAGTTGGAAGAGAGTGGACTGCGCGCTCCGGGTTAAGGGTGAGGTTCTGCCTCATGTGGAGGAGTTGAAGTATAGGTTCTGTTCATGGGTGAGGGAAAAATGATGTGAGACTGAGAATCTCCGATGATGCACATAATCACAAGTCCAAGTGTCACACAGGGTAAACACAAAAACATGCATTATCTGCAGCCCTCGTTCACTAAAATGGCATACCATTAATGTATTAAAAATATGCAGTAGGCACACTTCGTGATATTGTAGATCATTCGGGAATACATTTTTAAATGCAAGTACTTACATTTACTCAAGTAAAACGTTAATGTGGTACTTTTACTAGAGTACATTTTTGTTTGTTTATCTGTACTTTTATTTAAGTAGTGTTTGAGTGCTTTCTCCACCACTGTCTAAGAGTGAGTTGATGCCACCAACATTACTTGGCTGAGAGAGGCTGATTGGCTAAAACCATTGTGCTGTTCTAGTGGGAGTTCAGTAAAATGATCAACATTCTACTGTACCTTTCGATATTGATGACATGTCTATTGTGATATATTGTTGTTGTTGTATTTCCCAGCTCTAGAACATCACTTCAAAAATTCGACTATCCCTTTAAACGAGCAGGAAGGCGAGCTAAAACCTCAAATGCCATGCTCTGCCTCCTGTTCTCTTCTGTTTGCAGTATATCTGTGTGGCAGGCTTTCCTTGCTGTGCTAAGTCTAAAGTTTTTATTGCCGTAAAAAAATCCCATGGCGCACCAGAGCCCTGACAGTTGCAGTCACTCCTGGACTGTGTGAAATCTCCCCGCTTGTGTCAATGCGCACAAGAAGGTCGTGAGCGATCAAATAGAGTGTGGAATGGTGGTGAATGTGTGTGTGTGTGTGTGATTGTGTGTGTGTGTGTGTGTGTGTGTGTGGTGGGGGGGGGTATGAGGAAGTGAAGGTGAATCGTCCTGTGCTCTGTCTGTGCAACACTGCAAAACTTTAGCTGTAGAGACAAATCTTTAAAGT